ACGTCTTTAGCTAGACGAATACCTGGCAGACTTTTAGTCGTTCAAATAGACGATAAAGATCGTCTTGGCTTGCTCCGGGCTGAAGTATGGCTTAATCCGCTGAGCATTCACTACGAATGTGGTGCCGTCACTTACCGCCAACTCCACGGCTCCATTTGTCATCATCTTCGTAATTACGAACGGTCCAGACCACCTCGACTTGAACTTACCGAGAAAGAGCCTGAGACGCGAATTGAAGAGTAGAACTTGATCACCTTCAACAAATTCTCGCTTCCTAATCAATTTGTCATGGTATCTCTTCGTCTTCTCCTTGTAGATACGAGAACTCTCATACGCCTCTGTGCGAAACTCGTCCAATTCGTTGAGCTGCAACTTCCTTTCGAGCCCGGCTTTTTCGAAGTCGAGATTAATCTTCCTCATAGCCCAATATGCCCTGTGCTCCAATTCAACATGCAAGTGACATGATTTACCAAATACCAATTGATATGGAGACATACCTAGAGGAGTCTTGTACGCCGTCCGATAAGCCCACAATTCTTCGTTGAGGTGATTCACCCAATCCTTACGACTCCCAATGACCTTCTCGAGCACTTGCTTGATCTCCCGATTAGCCAACTCGGCTTGCCCATTAGCTTGAGGATGGTATGCCGTCGTCACTTTATGCTTCACTCCATACTTGGCAAGGAGACTTCCAAGCCACTTATTACAAAAGTGCGACCCACCATCGCTAATCAATGCTCTCGGAGTCCCAAAGCGTGTAAGGATATTCGCTCTCAAAAATTTCAGCACCTCCTTAGCATCATTGGTCTTGGTTGGCACCGCCTCAACCTATCTCGAAACATAGTCCACTGCCAAAAGAATATACTTGGACCCATAAGACACCGGGAAAGGTCCCATAAAATCGATCCCCCATATGTCAAAGAGTTCCACCTCAATGATGTTGGTGAGGGGCATCTCATCTCGCCTAGAAATTCCTCCCGTTTGTTGGCACCTATCACAAGATAACACGAACCAGTGACAATCTTTATAAATGGACGACCAATAAAAGCCGCTTTGCAACACCTTGATGGCGGTTCGGTTTCCCGCGAAGTGACCTCCACCCGGTGATGAATGACATTGCCTCATGATTTCTCCTCATTCCTCTTCGGGAACACACCTTCTAATAACCATATCCGCGCACCTCCGGAATAAGTATGGCTCGTCCCAATAGTAGAACTTCACATCATGAAAGAATTTCTTCCTCGCATAATAGGACAAATCCGGAGGTGGTACGCCCGACACCAAGTAATTCACATAATCGGCGTACCAAGGTAGGTGGGCCCGAACGTGCATCATGTGCTCATCCGGAAAATCTTCATTAATAGGGACCAAACGATCATCCCCTTCAACCGGGCACTCCAATCGAGATAAATGGTCCACCACAACATTCCCGCATCCCTTCCGGTCCCGAATTTCTAGATCAAACTCTTGAAGTAAGAGCACCCATCGAATCAATCTTGGCTTGGCATCCTTCTTCGCCATGAGGTGTCGAATTGCCGCATGATCGGTAAACACGATTGTCTTCGTCCCAACAAGGTAGGGTCGAAACTTGTCAAACGCATACACCACCGCTAGCATCTCTTTCTCCGTAGTCGTGTAATTTACTTGAGCTGGATCCAACGTCTTGCTCGCATAATAAATCACTCAAAAGAGTTTATCTCGCTTTTGGCCAAAAGCGACCCCCACGGCTACATCACTCGCATCGCACATCAACTCGAACGGTTGCTCCCAATCCGACACAATCAAAATAGGAGCACTAACAAGGGCCTTCTTCAATGTCTCAAAAGCCTGCAAACACTTCTCACTAAAATCAAATGCAACATCTTTTTCTAATAAAACACTAAGAGGTTTAGCAATTTTTGTAAAATCACGAATGAACCTCCTATAAAATCCCGCATGGCCCAAGAAACTCCTTACCGACTTCACGTTTGTAGGAGGTGGAAGTTTTTCAATGGCAACAATTTTTGCCCGATCTACCTCAAGCCCGACGGAAGACACACGATGCCCAAGAACTATACCTTCCTTCACCATAAAGTGACATTTCTCCCAATTTAAAACAAGGTTAGTTTCTTCACAACGCTGCAACACTCGAGATAAATTAGCCAAGCAATTATCAAATGAAGTACCAAACACCGAAAAATCATCCATAAACACCTCCATAATATTCTCAATTAAATCATGAAAAATTGCCATCATACATCTTTGAAAGGTAGCAGGAGCATTACATAAACCAAAAGGCATCCTACGATAAGCAAAAACACCATAAGGACATGTAAAAGCCGTCTTCTCTTGGTCTTCCGGAGCTATCAAAATTCGATTGTATCCGGAATAACCATCAAGAAAACAATAGAAATCATAACCCGCTAACCTATCAAGCATTTGATCCACAAAAGGCAAAGGAAAGTGATCCTTACGAGTAGCGGCATTTAATTTACGATAATCAATACAAACATGCCAACCTGTCAAAAGCCTAGTAGCAACAACACCATCATGCTCATCTTTCACAATAGTCATCCCCCCTTTCTTAGCCACAACTTGTGTAGGACTAACCCATTCACTATCAGAAATAGCAAAAATCATCCCCGCATCTAACAATTTAAGAACCTCTTTTCTTACTACACTTCTTGCATAATCGGATTTAGCCTACGTTGATTTTGAACACATGGCTTATAATTATCCTCAAGCAAAATTCTATGCATGCAAATAGAGGGACTAATACCTTTTAAATCACTAATCGACCAACCAATCGCCGATTTATGCCCTCTTAAGACTCTCAATAATCTCTCAAGCTCCGAATTAGAAAGGTAAGAAGAAACGATTACCGGAAATGTGTCATTCTCTCCAAGATATGCATACTTCAAGTGCTCCGGTAAAGGATTCAACTCTAACTTCGGGACTCCATCTTTCTTTTCTCCTTGACTTGCACTTGGTCCCGGCTCATCACGTCTCAACTCCAAAAATGCGGCCTGCCTCTTCGGGATTTCCCTACAAGAATCGAACACATTAACACATTTAAATAATTTTTCTTGAAAAGGATCAAACGAAGAAGAAGAAAATAATGATTTTTGAACACATAGATCAAAAGGGTCTTTAGACGAAGAAGTAATCATGTCCTTGTCGAAGGAGGCCTCGACAACTTCAATCACTTTACATTCTTCGATCTCACCATCCTCATTATTATTCTTCATCGCTAGATATATGGAAAATGTGATGCTCTCTTCATCAACCCGGAGAGTAAGCTCGCCATTCTTCACATCAATCAACGCTCCCCCGGTTGCAAGAAACGGATGACCCAAAATTAGTGGAACCTCCTTATCCTCCTCCATGTCAAGGACCACAAAATCAGCCGGGAAGATAAACCCCTCGACTTTCACCAATATGTCTTCCACAATCCCCTTCGGATAAGACAAGGATCTATCCGCCATTTGCAATGCAATCGTAGTGGGCCTAATCGTCCCAATCTCCAACCTCTTGAAAATTGATAGTGGCATGAGATTGATGCTTGCTCCCAAGTCACATAACATTCTCGAACCGCTTCCCTCCTATAATGCATGCTATGGTGAAGCTCCCGGGATCCTTGCGTTTGAAAGGCATCTTCTTTTGGATCATAGCACTACACTCCTCCGTCAAATTCACCTTCTCATACGCTTTGAGCTTCTTCTTCCTAGATACCATGTCCTTCAAGAACTTGGCGTATTTGGGCATCTCCTGCAATGCATCAACAAGCGGAATATTTATTTGAACTTTAGTAATTATTTCACGAAATTTGGCATATTGTTCGTCAATTTTTTTCTTTGCAAAACGTTGAGGAAAAGGTAAAAGAATATTAGGAGTAGAAGTGTTAGAAGTAGATTTTGGCTTCTCAGCCCCTGTAATTGCCGATTTTGGGGGCTCCACTACTACTTCCTCAACTTCTTCCTCTTCCTTGCTCTCCTTAGGCTCGACTTTTCCCGGCTCATTAGTTGGCATCCTCGGTCCCTCATACTCCATGCCACTCCTTAGACGGATGGCTTTGCATTGTTACTTCGGATTCACCTCTGTGTTGCTCGGAAATTGTCCCCTCTGCTGTAAACTTCCAACTGCTGTAGCCAACTGTCCAATTTGTTGTTCCATTGACTTCATTTGCTTCTCCAAGGTAGAGTGCTTAGCCTGAGATTCGCCCATGAATTGTTGCGTTTGAGTCATAAACGAGGCGAACATATCTTCGATTGTCGGCTTCTTCGGCTCATTGATGACCCCGTTGGTCACCGAAAATCCGGGAGGTGGTTGTAGAGCATTATTCGGATTTGCATATGATAAACTGGGGTGATTCCGGTTGCCTTGGTAATAAGTGTTCCCCGCTTGAGGTCCTCGAAAATTCCCAAAATTCTGATTATTCACATAATTCACGTCCTCGACCGGTTCCCCAAATCCTAAGCTCTCAGCCTTTCCTCCTTGCATGTTGTTTATCACCAATGCTGCTATTTGAGCTGCCATCGAAGCGGCTGAGTCCGCCTCATTCGTAGCCGCCACTCTCTTGAGCATAGTCCTCTCAACCGGCCACTGATAGCTATTTGATGCCATCTCCTCAAGAATTCGCTTCGTGTCGTTCGGTCGCCTTCCCAAAAGGGCACCTCCAGCTGAGGCGTCCACCATAGCTTTCATCGGGCCACTCAATCCATTATAGAAATAGCAAATTTGGTGCTCCTCCGAAAATCCATGCTGTGGGCACGTCCGAAGGAGTTGCGTGTAACGCTCCCAGGCCTCGTATAAAGGCTCACCATCTTGTTGCTTGAATTGAGTGATCTCCGTCTGAAGTCTCAACATCTTACTCGGTGGGAAGAACTTCAAGAGAAATTTCTGACGCATCTCATCCCATGTTGTCACTGTCCCGGCCTCAAGAGAATTGTACCACACCTTGGCTTTATCTCTAAGAGAGAAAGAGAAAAGCCTAAGCCGGATAGCGTCCTCCGGGACTCCATTGTACTTCACTGTACCACATATCTCCAGAAATTGCACCAGATGCGCATTCGGGTCCTCGATTGCAGCTCCCCCAAACTGCTTTTGCTGCACCATTCGAATCAAAGACGGGCTCAACTCAAAAGTATTAGCCGCAATTCTCGGCCCGTGACCTCCTCCATATACTTGATCAGCATGGGGTTGGAAGATGTTCTGAACCGGTGTTCCTGTCTCTTGTTGAGCCTGATGCGCAGCCAGTTGGCGTTGTAGCTCCGCCATTTGTGCCTCGAGCTGTCTATACCTCTCTTCACCTTGTTCCTCCATTGCACCTCTTAGTCGTTGTTGTAGTCTTCGATTTGCGTTGTTCCTTCGACAACTAGCTTCAATCTCGGGGTCAAATTTCAGGGGTGAATTCCCACTAGACCTCGTAATCATGCACGTGCCTGTCAAAACACACAAACCAAAAAAGATGCAATTAAGAACCAAAGTATTACACAAAAATAAAAATGACTAAAGTAATATCTACCCGTCTTCTTCTAATATTAATTAATTTGAACAAAACAGTCCCCGGCAACGACGCCAAAAACTTGTTCGCAAAATATTTTCGCTACCCGCAAGTGTACGGAGTAGCTGCAGAAAGCGGCGAGCAAGGTCGTATTCCACAGAGACTGTTGTTTAAACCAATTAAGTACCAAAATATTGACGATTAAATATTATCTAGACTAATGCAAATTCGATTGGAGTTTTTATTCTAAACTAATGAATGAATGCAAAAATAAATTCCAACACTAATGAAGGCTTGTTCTAAATAAATCAAGTATGAGAAAATAGATTCTAGGCTATGCTTTCCTCGGGATTATTCTAGCGAAGTTTTCTTATTCATTCAAACCTTATTTAATTCTACCAATCGTAGGGATAATCGCTAAAGTAACTTACACCTTTCTCTCGAACAAGTTAAATCGTAGATATTAATTGCTATCTATCTCCTCTCGGTCTCAAGATGAACAACTAACTCCCATAAGCTCCTAAGATTCTAATTCCCTCGCAAGATTCTATCAACCTCTCGGTCTGTTTAGTCTCTTACGTTATGAATTTCCCAATTCTAGCAATTAACTATCTCCTCTCGGTCTCAAGTCAATCACAAATATGCATAAATACGGGCCCTATATTCACACAATTCATATAATCACAAGAAACTGATAAACGAAAGATAGAACAGAATGAATAAACAAAATTACTTCATAAAATAATCCGAGTACTCGCAAATCCTAGAATCTCAAAGAGATTTAGCTACTAAACATATTCTCAATACTCAAAATAAATAAATCCATGAGTTCAATGAAGAAGAAAAAGAGAAAAGAAAGAAGAACTATTGTTGCCGTTAGTTCCCGGATCTTCAATCTTGACTTCCTCGAATCCCTCGTGTGTTTCGTGCTTTCTCTAGGCCTCCAATGGTGTCAAAAGTCCCAAAACCATGTTCTTTATGTTCCTTATATACTCTAGGGCAAATATGGGTTGAAAAAGGGACAAAATCGCGTAGGTTTCCTATTTCCCGCTGGACTGTCTGCGCGTCACACGAGTCGTGTCACAGGCCACACGAGTCGTGTGACTTGTCTTCAATTTTCGGCAAAGTTCCAGGTTCACACGAGCACATCACACGAGACGTCACACGAGTCGTGCGAGCCCACACGACTCGTGTCATGGGCCACACGACTCGTGTGGGAAAGCCGCACCAAATTCCCACAAAAGCTCGATTTTTCTCACCCCACACGACTCGTGTCACGATCCACACGAGTCGTGTGGGCTGTCTGCACCTTATTTTCATCGTTTTTCATCCCGATTCCATCTTCAACGCTTTTTCGGGCATATTTCCTACAAAACCAACGACAAATATACCTCCATCATAGATTAATAAATTAAACAAAATGGTGCACAAACCCACGATAATCACGGTCAAACATCTCACTATATCACTCATAATGCATGAAAATATGATGAATGTCAGGGAGTAAATCATGGCTGAAAATTTAAAGAAGATCTCTCAACTCTTACTTATATTGATGGCCGAAACATGATGAGGAAGTGGGGAAATTAGGCCAATCATAACCCTCCAACTACTAACCACATGGCTTAATTTGGAGCAAGATTTGGGTTAGTCACCACCTTATCATGCTTAGTCATGACTTATGGCCTAATAAATTGCCACCTCATGCTTAAGCTAAGGATGAATATTACATGATCTTATGCCACTTCCCAAACAATTTTGCTCACGGCACTTTGAATAAATTAGGACATAATTTGGACATTAAACTTACTTAAGCTTGACTGTAATATTAATTAAGCATGGTTACATGCTTAATTATTATTTAATGCTTGATCATTAGACTAAGCTTGGTACTTAAATACCAAAATTAATCCGAACGTGAACGTGACTTCGAAAATAATTTCGAAGAGTCTTGATTGGAATAATTAATTCCGAATATAAACGTGATATTCGAAAATCAATTCGAATATTCATGACTTTGACGATTAATCTGAATATCGACATTTCGGATAATTCGTCAACTTAACTTATTAATTCTGAACTCCTTAAATAAAGAAGCGAATCAGAATTAAATCTGGAAACTTATCCGGTTACTGAAATAATTATCCGAATAATTTATCGACTAATAGTCGGACTTGAAATATAACTAACTGAATAACTTGAACTTGAACATGAACATGATTATTTATTAATAAAGGCTAGCTTAAAACTAAAAGCTAGTATTTTCTTTTATTAATAAAAAAACTCGGGGTGTTACAATCCACCCTTCTTAAAATATTTCCATCCTCGGAAATATTAAAACTGGACGTACAAGCTTAACATAAAGCTTATACTTACTGATTGTATGACTTGAGAGTTCAGTACTTTAATACTGAATAATGGACTTGATCTGAACTGAGGAGTCATCAATTCACAATTAAGTGAATTGTTAGATATTGCTGACTGAAAATGGACACTTTCCTAAAATAAAGTGTTCCATTGATTATACATGATCTTAAAACAAAATTCTTGAGCGTACTGATCATCATTTCCTGGTTGCTTGCTGATCTTCAGTCTGAACGCTTGTTGTGGAAAACCCCGGTCGTTGGTACACACGGAAGATTCCAGAGATACGCACGTGTACAAATGAGGATAACTAGCAATATCGAATAGTTACCTTTCCTGAATGTCTGCTCGATAACGCGACACATCGTTCGTGGCACATTGTATTGCGGCACACCTGCTCCTCATTAAGTGAGTGCGGCACGCCTGCATACAGCACCTGGCGAACATTGCACCTGCGTCGTCGACGTAGTCTGATCGTATCTGTATCTCAAGCTAGTAACCTCAATATACTATAATGCTAACTCTCTGTAATCTCCCAATGTACTGTGACTCAGGCATGGCATCCTTTTCTTCTTGCGACATGCATCCTTGAATGGAAAGCGTCGGTTTGTCTCTACGGCGTGGTCTGGTGTTGTCGATTGGCCCTTCTCCGTTGTACCTGCAAATCTTTACCTTCCCTGAGGTTTAACATAACCTAAAGAAAAGTCTATCATGAGCTAATCTTTCCTACGATTTCTCAAATTTTCAAAATTTGAGAATCGAGGCACTGATTATACTTGAATTGCTTGATAAATCTTGTCTTATTAGACAGACTATCCTTAATCTTGACATGACTGACCTGAATATTCACATAACTTGAATAATCATGACTTGACTTTTACATGACTGAATCATCTTTGCCGGAACTCTGAAAGCTATCTCGAGACAACTAAATAGTTGCCTCAGAATTGGAAACATAACATTTACTGATTTACTTGACTTGATAAGGTACGACTTCAAGTTTCCAGGTAAATTTGGACTAATGGTCTGTATATCAGACCTCCACATTTAACCCAGCTGAACAACTATTATACGTCGACCTTAAATCCTGAACATTAACTTTAAATCCTGAACATTGACTCATGACTATGTACTGCATAGGGCTGTTCCAGTATCAACTGGTCCCGCAAGTACAAAGGAATTAACTGATCTTGATCTTTGAAAATCTTAACTTGAAGTATCCTAACTGACAAAATACATGACATGACTGACTTTAAAGGTTGTGATTACATGAAATCATATTGCTTCGGTCCCAGCTTCAAGCCTCCATGGTATACCCGGCTGAGTGGCTCTTATTTCAAGCCTCCATGGTAACCCGGACTTTTGACTCTTATACACTGGAAACCGTTACCTTAACAATGACTTGAGAATTATAACAACCTTTAGCATGAAAATTTTTGGCCTTGAACATGATTTACTGATCTGACTTAGGAATTTGAGTCTATTCCCTGATCTAACTCAAGGAATTCCTCCCTAGAATCTGCCAACTGATTGGCAAAATGGCAATTTTGGGTAGAAAATATCTGAGGAACATGATTGCTAAGATTTGTACAACATAAGTGCTTACAAATCTCTTGACGAGTATCTAAACATGACTGGGGAATACTGACTCTAAATTTTGAGTATACTGACTACTGATCCTGAACATGATTCGAGCATCTTAACTAAATTATAACTGAGAAATTTCTGAGCATAGACATAGTAATTTGTTTATAATTTAAAACATAAATCAACACTTACCTGTATTCGGCGAGGCGTGAGCGTGACGGTTCAGGTTGTCTGAAAATTTCTGACTCGTAAAACTTTTCAGAGACGCAGAAACATGCTCTGATACCATTTGTAACACCCCGCTATTTACTGAAATTCAGAGTACGCTTTTTCAAAAATTTTCTATATAAAATAAATAAAATATTTCATTTGCGAAATCTGATTCGAGGTGTTACCGTAAAATCTGACTTTTGTCTGAAAACCGTTAATTTTTAATCTGATAATAAAAACGGTTATAAATATATTAACCGACTAACGTCGGGTCGAAAGCTGATTTAAAGTACTGAAACTGTAGCAGAACCATATTGTAGCCAAACATAATATGTACATATAAACAAATGTCCTGTATCCGTCGCCCGCTCACTCCTCGGCTCCGACTTTGCGACCTGAAAAACATGAAATACGTGGGGGCGTGAGCACTAAAACATTGTGCTCCGTAGAAACTCATACTAAAGTAAAACAGTGAATATAATAACAATATCATGACCCTGGTATATATAA